GGTGTGGGTGTGGGGGTGGGTGTGGGTGTGGGTGTGGGTGTGGGTGTGGGTGTGGGTGTGGGTGTGGGTGTGGGTGTGGGTGTGGGTGTGGGTGTGGGTGTGGGTGTGGGTGAAAAGACGATAAACACCACACCCGCACCCACACCCACACACACCCACACCCACACCCACATCCACACCCTCTTTTAAACTGTATTTGCTTTTGATTAAATTTATTCATTTATTTGTCTGAAAAATCATGAACAGTGAAGATCTCCAGAAAGTAGCACTGTGATTGCTTCAGCAAGGTTTAAGTAGTCGACAAATTTTAAATAAACTTGCAGACGAAATCTGCAAATCAACTATCAACAAGTGGGCGAAAATGTATCGCGAATCCGGTGAAATCACTATGAAAAGTCCACCTGGTCGTAAATGTTCAAAACGATTAGTAAAAATAGAAAACCATCTTCTTCGCACCAAAAAGAAAATGTCAACAAGAAAATTAGCCAAGATGCACGATGTATCGAGAAGAACTATGCAGCATTTAATTAAAGATGATCTTGGCTCTAAATCATATATCAAGCGTATTGCCCCGAAACTTACATACGGATCATCAGACACCAATATGATGCAAAGACCATTTTTGGAAGTTTTGGCCGAAATCACGATGGCCACCAAATTCACCCGATTGAAACCCGTTAGATTATTCGATTTGGTATGAATTGTGTGGCCAAAAGAGTTGGAAGAAGATTACGAATAAAAACACGTTGATCAATGAAATTTGAGCCGGTGTCAAAAAAATTAGGGCAATAGTTGTGCGTCGCAGTATTCATTCTTGGACTAATCGTGTATATAGGATGTTACAAAAAAGATGTGAACATGTTTTTTAAATAAAATATATGATTTGAAAGAGCAACAAATTCTCTATCAAATGAGCCTAGAATCAAATTTTTGAACCACTAAAAAGTTCCTCAAGAGCAAAGATCAAAAGTGGCCATTTTATTCTGCGTCACCCGTTATAAACTATGTTCAGCTCGATAGGGGAGTTTCAACGGCTCTCTATCCGCTGATAGTAAAATTCTCGAGTTATCAACAAGCATACTGCTGGATGGCATACTTGAACCTTGTCAAACCGTAGATATTTTAATACGAAACTGATAAATCCACTGTCTAAGATGACCGGATTTCGAACAAACTATCAGCCATAAAGTGGTCGCTTTTATCCGTGTCGTCAATCCCAATGAGCTCTTATTTTGTTTAAAATTCTTTTGCATTCTACTGTCTTTTTTATCGATGAAAACTGGTCACTCAAACATTCCTTTGTGCGTTGCAAATATTTCGAAGCACAATCAAAGACAGCAATTAATTTATGGGCAAAGATCGAAACGATTTTTAAGGAGTTCAATCTCGTTATCGGCAACACTCCTATTACTACCGATGAAGGTGCAAACATTAAGGCATCATTGAAGGACGAAGTGCACTTACCATGTATGACACATCGTTACTGTACTGCATTGGAATGTGCTTGGGAAGAGCCAAAGACACAAAATATCGAATTCGACCAGTTTTCAATGGCTGTGGCTGAACTTCATGAGTTTGTAGCTCGGTGTGGAGGTTTGCAAGGCAAATTGCCAAAATCTTTAAAAAAAGGCGTGTGCCACACGACCATGGCGCAGTTATTACACTGTTCATGAATCAGGTATTCGCAGTTTTCATTTTCATTCGTCGTTTATCTCTTTTTCGAATTTTCGAATAAGAACCGAATATGTGAAAGACTACGAAGAACGAAAATTGATCAGCATTTAACCATCGAAAAAGTGTTTCTCCTTAGACGTGTACCAATACCATAGTTTCACAGAGAAAGATGAGAATTTTTCTCCGTTAAGAACCCACGAGACTCGACGAGACTTTTATTCCGCGATGCTCTGCTTGGCCTCATCTAGCTATGTGTCCGACCGGACAGATCGGTCACGAAAGGAAAAGGCCAGGTCTCGACTAGTCTCGATCAATTTTTAATTTTTCCACCGAGACTAGCCGAGACCTGGCCTTTTCCTTTCGTGATCGATCTGTCCGGTCGGACACATAGCTAGATGAGGCCACTCAGAGCATCGCGGAATAAAAGTCTCGTCGAGTCTCGAGGGTTCTTGATCGAGAAAAATTCTCATCTTTATCTGTAAAACTATGGTATTGGTACATGTCTATTTCTCCTCAATAAGACAGTTCACGCTTTTCCTTTTTCTCTCACAGACACATGACTGTCAGATTTTTGAACAATGATACCTTATTTTGTAGTACTCGCATCATACAATACCCTTGTGCGTCTGCTTCAGCTGCTATTCGAAGAAGCAAAAGTTCAGGCAATCAATCGCAACTTACTAATCAGCGTTGTTGATCTCATGAAACAATTTGTTCCGATTTTCGATCAACTTGAATTTTCCGACAGACCAACCCTTCACGTCGTAATACTGGCCTACTATGTGACGTGCTCAATCGTTAAAATAGGTCACGAGCGACCTGCATTGAAAGTATTGAAAGCGAGCATTTGACGATCACTCGACAAAAAGTGCGGCATCCAATTTCGATTTTTGTGCCGAATTACATTGAAGAATACAATTTCTTTCGAATGTTTAGATACTGGACCAGCATCACACAATTACATTGGATCGCAACATTCTTGGATCCGACATTTCGAGATTTAACCTTTATCAACGACAAAATCGATCGAATCAAACAACAGAAGGCAATCAAAGGTGGTCTCATCACGCTGGCCGAAAACATTGATATTGGAATGACGCATGAGAACAGTCATCTCGTGAGTTATTGGCTCGACTCGTTTACAGAGATATTATCGTTGAACATTTTTTGGGCGAACAATCGACCAACCACGACAACAATCCATTTCGTGAACTACGCAATCATCAAATGGCGAAGACATCGCAGCGTTCACACGAACGAGCTATTCTTGCCGAACTCGTCGATTACACATCATTGCCAAATGCTGGAAATCAAAACGGCACAGATATTCTAGCATTCTGGAGCAATAACATTCATCGGTTTTCTATTCTTTCTACAGTGGCAACGCGCATTCTTGTGGTACAAGGCTCCACCAGTGAATCGGAGCGACATTTTTCGACTAACGGCACAATTGCTGCCGAAAAACGAAGCTCGTTGAGTGCCTCGTCAGTTGAATCTCTAGTTGTGCTGCGAGAGGCTTACCTCAACGACCAGTGGCCAAAAAATCAACATCGAACACAGATTCAGTGACAGTGATGGATGAGTGAGATAAAGTGATTTGGTTTGAAATCAATGTATTTGTTTTTGCTCGAGATACTTTCACGAACTTTTATCATTGTGAAAACGCAGTTGACAATTGCTAAGGTGTCGAATCTTCTAACAAAGATCGAATGAATGATAAATAAGGTGTTGTGGAAAGGGTGATATGCATGTAAGAAAAAGCGACAATCACACAGTGACTATCTTAGAATGGTCCAAAACAATATGAAGTTGGAAAGCTGACAGCTAATGTGCCAGTCGAAGTTGCAATTCGTTAGAGCACCTTTACTGACCACTCCAACAATATATTCTCGTACAAGACAGCTTTGACCTGTGCCGGTCGGATTTTAGCACTGACTGCTTCCACCTATGCTTTAGAGCATGGAACCATTAGAAGTCACATTTGTACTAATATAGGATTAACAAGTACTTTTCCTCAAAGTCAACCGGTATTCTACAACAGTGCGGACATTATAGCATCAAATCAGCGTCACGAAATAGCCAAAAGGTGGTGCTTGAAGCTTTCTAGATGTGAAGTTCTATTTATCTACCCATGACGCATGCTTCAATGTAAGAAAGGCCGTATCGTAACAAACGCGACAGGTGAATATCGTAGGATGAAAATGTTGGATCGTCAATACCAAGCAGCGAGAATCTCCGCTCTCAGTTGCAGAGAACTGTCAATGCACACACACGCCCACAAAATAGCTCCACTCACCCTCACAACCTCAATAACACGAAACGCGTCGGCTAAATTAACTCTGCATTCTTTTAATTCATTCAAAACTACAAGCACAATATTTAAAAAGCATTTCCTTTCGACAGACACCGATTGCTGAAAAGCAAAGGTTGGGATTAGCAGATTGGTTTATCTTTTATTTAGAAGATAGGTCGATCTGTTGTCGATTGATACACCATCACCCTCGGAATAAATAAAGGAAACAGATAGCTGAGAATATGAGAGAAGGGGGCTGCCTAGTCGATAATGGCTGTTTTCGGGGTGGACTTGTGTTTGTGCCAATATCCTACAAAGAAAAAATAAGTGAATTAATACAGTACCATAAATTACTTGAAATGATAATCTCAAATAGAATGTGCGAATGATGGAGAAAAACATCAGCGAATTCTCTTAAGGAGTTATCATCGAAACAATATATTGACACAACATACCTGCCTCATTTGGGACAAATACCAAGAACACGAAGATCATTAAGAAGACGATTAAGATTATGAAGATTAGAATTACAAATATCACCACAAAGATTACGGCCACCAGGACAAACCGTACAAGGAACACCACTACTATCACTACAACAAACGAGATTACTAAAACCATGACCATGAATATGAATAAGAGGACAAGGAGGAAGACACGTAGTAGTAGAATTACTACTACAACATGGACCATCACGATAAAAAGGAAGACAAGTACCAGAACCATCATAAGTATCACAATAACAACAACCGATACGACCAGTAAGATCAGCAGTAGGAGGAGCAGTAGGGTAAGCATTAAGACAATGATTAATACAATCATCACGAAATGTATCAAGAGTACAAGAACCAGAGTGACGTGGCTTGGCTAAATGATGGAGAAGGCCATCGACATCAGCCTCATCTACTACGGTCCGTGCCATGCAGCTTGTAGTCACCAACACCAATAGGACGATCAAACAAATCAATTGGCTGCTCTTCTGCATTGTCGTCTGTTACACTTTTCACGCTTGAAGAGAAAGTGGTAGAAGAATTTGAGCAAGTATGTAAATGGTATTTGTCTATAGTCGTGCTTCGGCGTTATATACACCACAGTTGCCCACTAACTAGGAATCTACAAGAAAAAATCCCTCAAAAATCGAAAGTGATTAACTGCTTTATGGCACAGAAAAAATAAGAGGTAATTGATACCTTAGTAACTGCTTTATGGCACAGAAAAAATAAGAGGTAATTGATACCTTAGTCGCTTCTCGCTGCTCGATCAACATTCGGAGATAAAAGGCTGTAAACGTGTCGTGCCGCTAGCAACTCTCCGTCACCAAATATTTTTAACGGACAAGGAGGAATGCAGCGAACCCGAACTTCATTTCGAGGCGCGGTCTCAATCGTTCAGTCCGCGTTCAGGAACCAACTAACATGTTCCGGTTGCATCAAGCATTTGGATAGTTGTTTTAGCTATTCTTTAAGTAACTTATAAAGGCGATCATGGAAGCACCCACACGGTTCGGTCACGTTCGGGTTCGAAGGGTGTGGATGTGGGTGTGGGTATGGGTGTGGATGCGGGTGTGGCTGTGGCTGTGGCTGTGGGTGTGGGTGTGTGGGTGTGGGTGCGGGTGCGGGTGCGGATGTGGCTGTGGGTGTGGGTGTGGGTGTGTGGACGTGGGTGTGGGTGTGTGGACGTGGGTGTGGGTGTGGGTGTGTGGACGTGGGTGTGGGTGTGTGGACGTGGGTGTGGATGTGTGGACGTGGGTGTGGGTGTGTGGACGTGGGCGGGGGCGCGGCCAGGGGTGCGCCCCCTCCCGCCGACCAGCAAGGCC